CGCTGGTTTGGCTGCGGGAAGTGCCCGCAGGGTCTGGGCCGGTCGCTGCTGCGTGGCCCGGGAGGTCATCGCCTCTCACAGCGCCTCTGGGCCACCTGTGGCAGTGCCTCACAGTCATCATGGCTGGGCTTCGCGAACGAAGATTTGGGAAGGCTCTATCCACGTTTGTTGCATGCACGTTGGTGGCTTATGAGGGCAGTACGAGACAGACATATCCTATTGCAAAAGGCACAGCAGAAAGACTCCTTAGATGGTATATTCTGCAGAACACGGTTCTTTCTGCATTGCCTTTTCTCCTCGAGAGTGATCCTGCTGCGTTCTCAAAGGAAGCAGCAGCGTTATAGATGGTGTGTCTCCAGGCCTCCCGATTTGAGGCCAGAGTAAACCAGTTATGGTGATCAATGTGGCCGAGGCTGAGATGTTGTTTCAGGCAGTCGTTGTATCTTCTCTTCGGGGCTCCTCTCATGCGGCAGCCGGTGGCAAGTTCACCATAGAGCAAGATCTTAGGGAGGCGGTGGTCCTTCATCCTTGAGACATGCCCTGCCCATCGCAGCTGTGTTCTCATGAACATGGTGATGGACAGGTCGGGAAAATCCCAGCCTGGCTAAAGTGGATTACCAAACCCACCTGTGAAATCAGAGCTGTTCCAGCAGCTGTTCTTCCCATTGCCCCTCGGATGTTTTCCTTATTTTCTGGTTTCCAGAAAGGAGCATGGGTTGGGAAGCACAGCTTTGCAATATTGTCGGTTTGCCATAACTGTGCAGAGATGTCAGGATCTGGAAGGCACTCCCATTTTCCTGGAGGAGGATTCCCCGAGGAATGCCCTTAGCTGAGATTTGGCTTCTGCAGACCCTCCCAGGATGAGCCATGGTGGGCTCTGATCCAGTGCTGGTTTTTAAAGCAAAGAGTTATTTGCGATGTCAGTTTCACTGTGAGCAATTATTTTTTTTTTGTGCCAGCGAATAAATTTTATAAGCACTGAGGTAATATGATTCCATGTTATAAATTAGGTAATTCTCTTAGTGAGCAATTTCAGTTGTTATACAGTGTGGTCTGCAGAAGGATTTTTCTGTAAACTAATTATTTTTTAATTTATTTTTAAAAAAGCTATACACCAGTGTGCATTTGAGTTTCTAGAGGCAGTTTTGGGTCATACCTGGTAACCTGGTGCCTGGATTTAACAACTAGCAAAGCCAAGTTTTCTGCTCGTGCATTTTGGAACTGACACATGTAAAGCATTAGCCAGCACTGCAGGAAATATTACAAAGGAAGCAGTTGATTGTAGCACAGAAATAGCAATAAAGGTACTGACTTGCTGCTGACCTGAGGCTTGGCCTCTGCTACTTGGAAAGTTAGTGGAGATTTGCTTGGCTTCTCTCCATGGGTTTCTCCCTATGAGAGACAGTTCAGTTCCATGAGAGAAGTGTGGAGAAAACTAGAGACTTGCAAATATCTCTTCTGTGATCTCTTCAGAGAAGACTCACTTTTCACCTGGGAGAGAAGAGAAACTCTGATTTTCCTCAAAGGAAAAAATAAAGAGTGAGCTTGTGGAATAGTTCTGTTTATTTTTGGAGGATTGTTTCATTTCATTTGGTTTGCTGATCCTAAAACTACTGGAGTGGAATTTTAGCTCTAGACCATACAAAATTCGAATTTTTGCTAGAGGAATGCGTGGTCCTGAGCTATTTGGACTAAAAGATCGCCTCTTCCTTTGTTGCATTTGGACACAGTGACTACATTCTTAGAGAGACATTTCTACTTTGTCAGAATGAAGCTTTTCTCCCGCTGCTTATCATTACTGTTTGAATTTCACAGTTAGGGTTAGGGTTAGGTAATACAATACTCATTATATTACGTTCTTTAGGCTGTAATGGAGAGAAGTTGGTGAAGCAAGTTGCAAGCACTTCCTTAGTGATTTTTGCAGACCTGCCTGTCTACTTCAGGGAACGTGAAGATCAGCTGTAATGCAGTACCTCTGTGCACATTGAACACGCAGAGAATTTTTCTCCTGTTTTGGATGTCACTGGCAGGGTCTGTCTGTGCTTTAAAGCACTGTGTTTGTCTTTGCACAACAGTGTTTTCCATGCTTTCTTAATATCGTGCCACTTTTAACTTACTGCAGATATTCAAAGAAAGTTTCCTGCTAGCTGGCAGGAAGGCAGTCTAGAGAAGTTTCCTTTCTGAATGCTCTAGGTGTGGGTGTGTGCTAGGACAAATAGTTTTGCCGCTGCTTTGGTGGTTGTCTCTGAAGTTGGTTTGCATTCTCTTTTTAAAACAAACAAATAAAGAAATGAAATGACTGGAAATCTATAGCGATAGGTTTATAGCAGTTCACCTGTCTGTGATACTTGCACACTGTCTAGACCTGACTCTTGCAAAAAAAACCCTCCCTATAATAAGTAAGTAAATAAAAACTGTCATTTCAGCTTAGTCTGTTCCACTTGTTCTCTCCTAGGTTCTATGGTCGCCCATGCAAAACCTTCCCCGTCTGCCCCTGACTGGAGTAGTTCAAATGCAGACAATCATATTGGTCAGGAATCAGCCTCGACTTCAGGAATTGTGACTAGTGAAGGACAAGGTATGTTCTTATGTGCTTGGCTGATCTTAAAATGTAGTTGATGGTATCTGTCTCTTCTAAATGCTTCAGTAAATATTGAGAATTCATTTGAAAGCAGCAAAAAAAAAAAAAAAGGCCCCAAGAATATTGCTATATAATTTTTAGGATGGTGTTGCAGGGATTTTAAAAAGAAAGAAACCAAGCCCACCACTCACTTAAGATGGCGAAGCAGATCCTAATGTTTTCTTACGTGCTCCTGTTCCATTTGCAAGCTGCAGCATCCGGCAGGCCGAGGGGTTCCTAGTGCAGGGGAAGGATGGACACAAACCGCATTCCTTGCGTCCGCTGTGGGGAATATTGCACAGAGCAGGACTCCTGTTCCTACAGTTGTGGCAGCCCTTTGGAAAGTTGCCTTCTCTCTAACAACAGCTGAGGGAGAAACTTTTTTATGAGACCAAGAGAAGGAAAGTGCATGCGTTCTGGATGTTTGATTCCATGGGCCAGTCTGCGGGGCTCAGCACCCTGAGGAAAAAGCAGAGCAGCAAAGATCTCCTGCGAGAAGCACAGGTATGCAGGAAACTCAAACATTCCGTCTGACAGGGATGACACAGCTTTTGAAATACTCCTTCTCAGCAGATACAGCAGTGAGAACCTGTAGCAGCTTCCCATGGCGGCGATGGCAAGATTTGGAGCTGCTGCTGAGAGAGCAGAGCTGGCAGTGAAATAAAGCTTGTGGGTCTCAAGCTGAAATCACTGAGGGGCTGGGATAGAGATGGAGGCTAGAATATGGACTGGATGGTTTGGTCAGGGACTGTTGGTTTTGAGTAGAAATTACTGTGGGATTGAGATTATGTTTTTGGAGCACTCTGGGGAGTCTAGTAATTCTATTGCCAGCCGTTGGATGGAACTGGGAGTACTGGGTAGAGTCAGATGCTCTATGGAGAAGGCCCAGGTGTTAACAGTGAGGGGGAGGAGGGGCCAGTGCTGGGGTTGAGGCCCCTCGGCTGTTGTTCGGGCTCAGGAGCTGTAGCAGGACTTCTTAGACAGTGACTCAGGTGAGTCTGTTTCAATTTCAGCTTTCCAGTCCCTTCCCACTGTCCCCAGTCCCTCCTGAGTCCATCCCAGTTTCTCCCAAGTGCCCCAAACCCCATCCCAGTGCAGCCAGTCTCATCCCTGTTCCTTTCCCAGTGCCTCCACTCCTTCCCAATTGCCCCCACTGCACCCCAGTCCCATCCCACTCTGTCTCCAGTACCCTCAGTCCCATCCCAGTCCATCCCTAGTACCCTCAGTCCCAACCCAGCTCCCTGTGCAGTTCCCTCCAGAACCTCCCCAGTGCTCCTAGTCCTTCCAAAGTTACCTCAAACCCATTGCAATCCCTCCCCAGTGCCCCCAGTCCAATCCTAGTCCCTCCCTAGTACCATTCCAAGTGCCCCCAGTCGCATCCCCGTCCCTCCCCAGTGCCCTCAGTGCTCCCTGTACCACCCCAGTACCCTCAGTCCCATCCCAGTTACCTCCCCAGTGATCCCACTTGCTCCCAAGTGCCCCCAGTGCAGCCCAGTCCCAACCCAGTGCCCCTGGTACCTCCCCAGTGCCCTCAGTGCCATCCTAGTTCTCTCAATCCCATCCAAGTGCCTCCAATCCTTCCCCACTGCATCCCAGTGCTCCTAGTCCCTCCCAAGTGCATTCGAGTGCCATCGTCAGTGCCCCCAGTCCCTTCCCAGTACATCTGCGTCCCATTCCAGTGACAGCAGTCCCATCCCAGTGGTCCCAGTCCCTCCCCAGAGATTCTCAGGCACACCCCCCAGTCTCCTCCCCAGTCATGTCACTCCCCTTGCAGTCCCTTCCCAGTCCTATCCCAGTCCCTGCAGTCCCTTTCCCAGTGCTCCCAGTCCCATCCCAGTTCCCTCCCCAGTGACCTCAGTTCCATCCCTGTGCCCACCCAGCGCATCTCAGTCCCATCCCAGTGCCTGTAGTCCCACTGTCCCCAATCCCTCCCCAATGACCCCTGTCCCATCCTACTTCCCCCAGTCCCTCCCCTGACAATCCCAGTCACAGTCCAGTGCCCCCAGTGCTAGCCCAGTTCTCCCCAGTCCATCTCCAGTGCCCTCAGTCCCATCCCAGTTCTTCCCCACTACCCCCAGTCCCTCCCCAGTGCCCCTAGTCGCACCCAGTGCATCCAACTCCCTTGTAGTGTCTCCAGTCCCATCCCAGTCCTTCCCCAGTGCGTTGTGCTCCTTTTCCCTGTGCATCCCATTCCCATCCCAGTCACCTTGCAGTCCCTCCCAGCTCCCTCCCCAGTTCCCCCAGTCCTAGCCCAGTGCCACCAGTGCTCCCAGTCCCACCCCAGTGCCCCCACTCTCATCCCAGTCCCTTCCCCTTTCCCCCAGTGCAAGCCAGCACACCCATTCCCTCCCAAGTGTGCTCCCGCAGTGCAACCCAGTCCTTCCCCAGTTCGCCCAGTCCCATCCCAATTCCCTCCCTGGTGATCCCAGTCCTATCCCAGTGCTTCCCTGCTGTATTACAGTCCCTCCACAGTGCACCCCTGTCCTTCCCTACTGGCTCAGTCCTATCCCAGTTCCCTCCCCACTGACCTCAGTCCCATCCCAGTGGTGCCCCAGTACCTCCAGTCCCTCCCCAGAGAATCCCAGTCCCAGCCCAGTTCCCCCAAGTGTCCCCAGGGCCTCTCCAGTGCCCTCAGGCCCGGCCCAGTCCCTCCCCAGCACATCTCCTTCCTATCCCAGTGCCCCCAGTCCCACTGTCCCCAGTCCCATCCCAGTGCTCCCAGTCCCCCCCCCGCAAATCTCAGTCCCACCCCAGTGTCCCCACTCCCAGCCCAAATCCCCCCAGTGCCCCCAGTCCCTCTCCAGTCTTCCCAGTCCTATCCCCATCCCTCCCCACTGCCCTCAGTCCCTCCCAGTGCATCCCAGTCCGTTTCCCCAATGCAAGAGGCACAGGGGGCATGAAATCCCTCGGCTGCACTGAGGTTCTATGATTCAGTTGTTCTAAATTAGGTAATTCTCTTAGTGAGCAATTTGAGTTGTTTGACAGCACGGACTGCAGAAGCATTTTTCGTTGAACTGATCTGTGGAGAATCTCCTTTGGAATGATCAAGCAGAGAGCGTATCAAGGCAGGCAGAACATTTCTTTTGGCTCTTTTTTTTTTTTTTTTTGGTTTGTCATTTTCTCTTTGGCTTCAATGCGTTTTGTGTGCTCCTGTTCAGGAAGCAGCATATTTTTACCTTGAAATTCAGGGTGGTTTTGTTTGATTGTTTAGGGTTTTTTTCTTTCCCAGTTGAATCAGACCTTCCATGCATAGTCCGGTGTTGTCCTACAGGACTGCTTTGGTGCTGGGTCAGAGAGAGAGAAAGGGAATGACTTCTTATTCTCTTCCAAGCAGAAGTGGGAGGTTGTCTTGTCCCTCCCCAAAGCACTGCAGGCACATGGGAGTAGCTCAGTGCTGGCCCAGTTCTCTGAGAAACACCCGTGGGGGAGAGGTT